TACAATTTTTCAGAACCCCGCGGATGGCTGGTTCAAATTGCTCACWCAAGAGGAGGGTGAATACTACAATGTGCCATGCGCCGATGCCACACAGGATCTACTTAAACTCAAAAGTCAAATGCAGGTAAATTTCAGAAAAACTCCAATAAGTCAATTTAGAAATAATATTTGAATCCACAATGCACACATGTGTAGAATTTACTTACGACTCTCTTCTCGCATTTCAATCACAGAAATCATCACAAAAGAAACCACTGGTGATGCGTAGCGATACAAATGCACAGACACAATCTAAAAAGGATATGATACGTGCTACCGAATTCAATTTCATAAAAGTGCTGGGCAAAGGTTCATTCGGCAAGGTGAGTATGTGTCAATGTCTGTTGAGTTATTGAAAAGAATAAATTGTAATATTATTGACAGTCTGATTTGGACACCTTTTGAACGATGTTCATGTGTGCTACTTATTTAAATGTTCTATGACTTTATTTTTCTGTGCAAAATTCATTTAAGTTTCGCTTTCATAAAGCTTTTTCCCTTGTACTTCAATCTTCTATTCAATCACAACAGGTCATGTTGGCCGAGCGCAAGGGCACCGAAGATCTCTTYGCCATTAAAATACTCAAAAAGGACGTCATCATACAGGACGATGATGTCGAGTGTACAATGATTGAGAAACGTGTTTTGGCCTTGGGTGAAAAGCCGCCGTTCCTAGTACAGCTGCACTCATGCTTCCAAACATTGGATCGCCTCTTCTTTGTCATGGAGTACGTTAATGGAGGCGATTTGATGTTTCAAATACAACAGTTCGGCAAGTTCAAGGAGCCGGTAGCTGTGTAAGTATGAAGCAAAAGCTCAATAACAAAGAAAAATACACAAAAAAAAAGAAGTAAAAGTAAGAGAGCAAAGGGCAAATATCCGTATGTATTGACTGACCTCTGGGAAAAGTGACTTTTGTGCCGCTGATTGACTTCGGTGAAGTGGCCAATCTCTTCAGTGGATTATTTGCACTGGTTTCTTTGCACAATGCCACTTTAAATTTTCTTCAATTTGCTACTTTATTTTCTATACAAATACTTTTTCACATTTGGTTTTCTATTTTTCTTTTGCCAATCCATTAGCTTTTACGCAGCCGAAATAGCCGCCGGCCTCTTCTTTCTACACAG